CATCTCAATTCCCAATTTATTCAGTTCCTATTACATGTGATTGAAGATGGATTGCCCTCAGATAGCACAGACCAGCTACCTGATCTGTTCATTAATGTTCTTCTGGCTTTTAATCTTCACATTCCAGGTCAGTGCTAGAAGTTTTCTCCCAACTGAGATTATATTGGAGTTTCAATTAATGTAGAACTTCTTTTCGTTGTCATATGCTAACTTGAAAACAGCCTCAATTTGCACATGTTGTAGAGTAAGGTATGTTCTATGCTTCAGAAGGCTAATCTTTTCTCCTGAACTTACCAGCCAATTCTTAAACAGCTAACCTTGGTGTGGCAGCACAGTACCCCAAGAACATCTGATAAATTGTCTCAATGTTGACCAAGGTTATAATTGTTTCCTAAAAGACCCTCTCCCATGTAATCCTATTTCTACAAAGGTAAAACTGCATCTTTGCAATGCTATTGAAGCAATAGCTGTGACTTCACGAAGAGCCTCAAGTTGCATACTAGTCTTGAATAGGGAAGCCCCACCCCATCCAAGACAAAAATTAAAAAAATATCCCAGATCCAAGGGATCCAAACAGCCAGAGCACTCAGTCTTGGCCGGATTGAGCCTGAGTCTGGTCTTTCCCCCACTCAGACCTAAAGAAAGTCCAGACACTATTGTTGTCATCCTCTCCTATTCCTAAATATCTCTTTTCTCCCAAAGATACATTTTTTAATCCAGAGATATAAAATTGCTTCTTAAGGGAATTTCTCATTAAAACTTTCTCCTCATGAAAAGGATGCACATGGATAGCTACCCCAGGCTTCAGAATTAAAACCAAATTTATCGAGTAAAAGGAGCCCAAGAAACACACTGCCTTTAATCCTGGCATTTGATGACATAGCTATCATAACTAGGTAGCTGCATTCCTCATGAGTTCGCCTGCATCCGTTAAAAGTCTGTGGCAGCCACCGCATCCTACAGTTAACTACATTGCAAATTAAGAACCATATCTTTAGTCTGAATCTCTCCAACACTCATGAAATAAATTTATATTCTAATATTTTGAGGGCAGGGTGAAGAAGCATTTTCTATTTTAATTGCACACATGATTATTTATAAGCTTCATGTCACCTCTTAATTAGCCTTTTGACAGGCTATCGTGTACTACAATAGCCTCATTAATGTATTACAGTGCATTCATTTCATTCTCAACCCATAGGAATGATTCATCTTGAATCAGACGTCCCCTTGCTTCTGCTGCTTTCCCCTGTGATTGAAACATGGGTGGAAAGAGTGTGGGTCCGTCATTTGGCAACTATAGAAATTCAAGAGTTGTAATAGTGAGATAAGACTTCAGCTCTGCTTATAACGGGACCGCCTTCCATTTTGTAATACCACTTCACAGTCCCGCTGGTGTGTAAAAAGCCTGGGTTGCATGTGTTAAAACTTCAGTAACCCTCCGCTTTAAGAGAGAGAGCACTTCACAGGATTCTTGCCAGTGTAATTCTGCAGTTAACCAGGCATCTTCCTTCTTTTAGTGAGTGGCAGATTTTCTGCTTATCCCTTGCTGTGCCCTGTGAATCTCATTAACTGTAGAAGCATTGGAGTCTCTTTTACAAAGATACTCTATTGGATAGTACTTCCTTCTGGAATGCCTGCTCTTTCATATTCTGGCCAGGCTAAAAACCTTTTGGGAAGCGGCTTAACTTATTCTGGCTGGTAGTGATTGCAAGCTTT